TGTTTGTCCCAGTCAGGAAAGAACTTAAAACTCTGTGTATTTGTGTTACAGTTTGGTGCTTTAAGCCTTTCTCTACCAGCCACTGTTCCTTTTCTAAAAAGCTTCCCTGACGTCTCTCAAAGTGCCCGCTTGCCTTCATGTTGGGTTTATTCCTCCTGTCTCCCCCACTGCCTCCCAGATCAGCAGAGCAGCAGCCGCCTTTGGTCAGGATGCTGGGGGGTTTGCCTTTGAGCTGCAGCAGCTCCTGCTCTGGGCGTTCTCAGAGCCGTGGTCTCTCTCATACCCTGCAGACCAGGGAGCAGCTGAGGCTGTGCTTTCAAGGCTCTGGGTCCCTGCGGGAGCTTTTAAGGATGGTGCCTGTGCTGTGAGTGTCCTCTGGAAACATCTGGAAGTTACTCACTGGGGCCATTGCCAGGAAAAGTAGGCCAAAACCAGGAGCTTCTTCTGGGTCTCCAACGTAGGTGTGGGGGCAAGCAGTTGGGCCACCCTCCACTGCCTTCCCTGGTGCATTCGCAGGGAGCTGGTTCGGAAGTGGAGCAGCCAGGACTTGAATTGGCGCCCACATGGGATGCTGGTGCTGCAGGACATGGTTTAACCCGCCGTGTCGTAACACTAGCCCCAAGAAGTAGTTTTTACTAAGCACATGAATAGCTTCTCTCTTTCAAGGTAGGTGTGAATCATGCAACAGGTTCTTACTTTATTATTACAGGCTGCCAGGACACTCGGTGCCAACTTGGTGCCGTAGCAGCAGTTTGGGGTTCATCCTTCCTGGTGAGGCCCCTATGGCCTTATTTCTACACCCTTTGTTTGGTCTTTCTGGATTATCTATTTTGTAAGTAGCATAAAATTCTTTCTGGAACAGGGCCCAGGAAACAGATACACAGTCGTGATGAAACAGTGTGGGGCAGATCTGGGCAGGTTAAATGTGAGATTTAATCCGACCATTACAAAGGTCTTTATCACCACCAAACCAACCAAAAACATGTGAACCTGCATTGTTCAGAACACCACCATATGGATATTTGCAGTGAAATAAAATATCTAGACCTTATCCTTATGTTTTTTTAAAGGTTTATTTATTTATTTGAATGTCAGAGTTACACAGAGAGGAGAAGTAGAGAGAGAGGTCTTCCATTCGATGGTTCACTCCCCAGTTGGCCGCAATGGTTCGAGCTGTGCTGATCTGAAGCCAGGAGCCAGGAGTTTCTTCCTGTCTCCCACATGGGTGCAGGGGCCCAAGCACTTGGGCCATCTTCCACTGCCTTCCCAGGCCATAGCAGAGAGCTGGATTGGAAGTGGAGCAGCCAGGACTAGAACCGGCGCTCATGTGGGATGCCAGCGCTTCAGGCCAGCATGTTAACCCGCTGCGCCACAGCGCCGGCCCCATCCTTATGTTTAAAAAGTAAAATTGGCCAAGACTTAATTTTTAAAAAGATTTATTTATTTGAGAGGTCTTCCATCCACTGGTTCATTCCCCAATTCTGAACCCAGGAGCCAGGAGCTTCTTCCAGGTCTTCCACGGGGATGCAGGGGCCCAAGCACTTGGGCCATCCTCCACTGCATTCCCAGGCCATACATAGCAGAGAGCTGGACTGGAAGTGGAGCAGCCAGGACTAGAATCTGTGCCCATATGGGATGCCAGCACTGCAGTGGTGGCTTCACTGCTATGCCATAGCGCCGGCCCCAAAGTTTGTGCTCTTTGACCAGAAATTCTGTCGTGTAAATTTCTAGTATTTGTATGAGGGCACACAGGTGGATGTTTACAGATTTGATTGCACTGATACATGGCTTAAGGAGAAGTCTCAGGAACAGCCAGATGAAAACTAGATTGAAACCCTCGAGTTCTGAGTTGCAGAGCGACTCCAGTGCGTGTGCCGGCGAGGCAGCCGGCCTGTTGCTTTCCAGTCCTTGTTCCAAGGTCATCCTCAGTCTTCAAAAGAAAGAGCACTTTCATGGACTGTCTTTGCACGCCCTCTGTAGCGTGTCGATCACAGGCTTAAGCTTGCCAGCTTCACATGAGAAATTCCCTGTGACTCAGGAAGTCATACCAAGGCCAGTGAAGAGTGGAGTGACGGGCCAGGGAAAGCGGCCCCTCCTCCAGTGCGAGTTCTATGGGGCATTTTTCTTTTTTCTTTTTTTTTTTTATTTTTGACAGGCAGAGTGGATAGTGAGAGAGAGAGACAGAGAGAAAGGTCTTCCTTTGCCGTTGGTTCACCCTCCAATGGCCGCCGCGGCCGGCGCGCTGCGGCCGGCGCACCGCGCTGATCCGATGGCAGGAGCCAGGAGCCAGGTGCTTTTCCTGGTCTGCCATGGGGTGCAGGGCCCAAGCACCTGGGCCATCCTCCACTGCACTCCCTGGCCACAGCAGAGAGCTGGCCTGGAAGAGGGGCAACGGGGACAGAATCCGGCGCCCCGACCGGGACTAGAACCCGGTGTGCCGGCGCCGCTAGGCGGAGGATTAGCCTAGTGAGCTGCGGCGCCGGCCTGGGGCATTTTTCTTAAGAGCTCTGTGTGTATTTTTGGCAGCTCTGTGTACACATCAAAGCACGTCTGTTCTGGTAGAAAGAACGCATACGTGGTTTTCTTGTGAACCTGGCTTAGGAGATAGAGAAGCCCGAATGTGAAGCCCCGCTGTGTCTCCAGTCGGTCCATGACTCTGGGCAGCTGCTGGACCTCCGACTTGGCTGCCTCATGTCCGGGGAGTCTGCTGGTAGCAGCCGCCAGCCGGGTCGGTCGTGAGACGTGAACAAGGCATGCGGGGCCTCACGGACTCATCTCGCTGCTTGGCTGCAGTGCACCCCTGCGGAGGCAGCACTCATGTGTGGGGTGGGTGTCTGAATGGAACTCTGGTCTGCGTGATGACTTGACGTTTATCAACATCAAATGTTTACAGGCTGAAGAATTCTACAGTGTAAGTATTTGGACAAGGGCACACGACTCCATGTAAGGAGATCTGATCAAAGCATTTGAAAATTGGGAACTATATACACACCTCATGTATATTATATGCTACATAGTTATAATTATATAACTATATATACATATATAACTATATGCACACCTCGACCAACTGTATCTGAGGGCATATTCTTTTTTTTTTTTTTTTTTTTTTTTTTGACAGGCAGAGTGGACAGTGAGAGAGAGAGACAGAGAGAGAAAGGTCTTCTTTTGCTGTTGGTTCACCCTCCAATGGCCGCCACGGCCGGCACACCGCGCTGATCCGATGGCAGCAGCCAGGTGCTTCTCCTGGTCTCCCATGGGGTGCAGGGCCCAAGCACTTGGGCCATCCTCCACTGCACTCCTGGGTTATAGCAGAGAGCTGGCCTGGAAGAGGGGCAACCGGGACAGAATCCGGCGCCCCGACCGGGACTAGAACCCAGTGTGCCGGTGCCGCAAGGCGGATTAGCCCCTCCGCCTACTGAGCTGCGGCACCAGCACCATATTTCTAGACATAGCAATATGAGAAGATGCAGGAGAATCCTGTGAATTGTTCCCTGGCAAGGAGTTCGTAGAAAACACCTTCTAAGATCTCGAGAAATGTTGCTGGCTTATTAAGTATATGTAATTAAAAAAAAAAAAACGCATATTATGCCTTACTTGGTTTATTCATTGTGTGTGGCTTTTCTTAAAATATCTCTGGGAATGAATTCTTTGGAATAAATATATCCTTGGGATGATTTTTCTGTTTACTAGAAAGTAAAACAAAGTGTTAAATTGCGTGAGTATGTGCGCTGCTTCTGTGTTTTTTTTTTTTTTTTTTAAGATTTTTTTAAAAATTTATTTGAGAGGTAGAGTTACAGAGGGAGAGAAGGAAAGGTTTTCCATCCGCTGGGTCACTCCTCAAACGGCTGCAACATCCGGAGCTGGGCCGTCCTGCTTCTGTATTTTAAAACTTGTTCATTCAGGGACCGGTGCGGTGCTGTGGCATAGCGGGTAAAGCTCCGGCCTGCAGTGCCGGCATCCCATATGGGCATTGGTTTGAGTCCCGGCTGCTCCACTTCTGATCCAGCTCTCTGCTATGGCCTGGGAAAGCAGTAGAAGTTGGCCCAAGTCCTTGGACCCCTGCACCCACGTGGGAGACCTGTAGGAAACTCCTGGCTTTGGATTGGTGCAGCTCCAGCTGTTATGGGCATTTGGGGAGTGAACCAGCAGATGGAAAATCAATCAATCTCTCTCTCTCTCTCTCTGCCTCTCAAGTAAATAAATCTTTAACAAAAACAAAAAACAAACTTGTTCATCAAGAACATCATTGCACCTTGAGGCCTTTTGGAAACCCCAGCACCATGAGCTTTCTCACGAGTGCAGGTGTGCAGTGGCCCCGAAACAGTGACGGCTGAAGCAGACTCCGGAGGGCACGGGGTGGGAAGGGTGGGTGGGAGTGCAGATGGAGCCGCCCACGCATGTCCTTCCCAGCGTGTCCCCACGTGTTGGCGTGTGAAAGGGAGGGGAAGGCAGGGGCAGACAGAACGAGGATTCCTGGGTGCGGGTCTCGTGCCGTCTATGCTGGAGTGACTGGGCTCTAATCCTGCCCTATGGCTGTGGGAGAAGTACTGCGTGACAGTGATAAGTGTGCACACGATTCAGTCATAGAGGATGAAGCCCACAAATGGCTTGCTGTTGTTGTGTCTAAGGCGCGAGACCTCCATAGACAAGGGTGGAGTGGGCAGTCCTGGAACGCGGCCATGTTTGCTGATGAGTGTCCCAGAATGCCATTGACCATCAAAACTGCCGAGTCTAGTTTTTCAGTGCAGTCTTGCTCCTCTAATGCTGGTATGTTTAAGCTTTGTAATGTCTACATGTCTTTGACATCTACGATTCAGTGACATTTTACAGTTCATACAGACGCTTTCAGGATACAGATATGTGGCATCTTCTGGGCCCGCAAGATAAACTCATGGTCGTTGGCCCTAACCCTTTGCAAGCATTCCTTAGACGCCAAAGCCGGCAGCAGCAGGCCTGGTCTGGAACAAATAAGCAGGTGCGGTTTTCTTTCCTCCCAGCAGTCGGAGACGGAGACGGTGCATCTGTTCATCCCCGCGCTCTCGGTGGGCGCCATCATCGGCAAGCAGGGCCAGCACATCAAACAGCTTTCTCGCTTTGCAGGAGCCTCCATTAAGGTACTGTTCTGCCCGCCGCGGCCCTGGAAGCGGCATCTTCTCCGCTCTCGCGCCCGGCCCCGCGTAAGTTAGCGTCAGGGCTATGTGAGGGCACTGCCCGAGGTGAGTTAACTTCCCCCTCCGGAACAAGCCTGGGGGGAGCCCAGGCCTGGGTGGGGGTCGGGCTCCTGCCGGCGCCCCGTGCCCGGCTGGACGATGAGGACACGACAGCGTGGGTTAGCAAAGAACAGCCTGCACCCAGGCGTTCACGGTGAGCGGGCAGCTGGGGCTCTCGGGACACTAGGCCTGACTCAGCCTCTGCTGAGGCGAGGTGGAAGAATCGCATGTATTATGGGGAGGACGGAGTCAGACTTAAAAAAGCGACAGACTTGGATTCCGTGTATGTGACAGTTCTAAAGAGGGAGAACTACAGACAGACCAAGTGAGTGGTTGTGCGCCCTGGGAGCGGGGCAGGAGCCGAGTAGATGGAGCAGCACCGGGAGCGCTGGAGCTCAGCATTTTAATCCTGTGCGTGACGTGACCACGCACTCGCCTCCTCAGAACTGGACGCCCAAAGGGTGAATTCTGTGTGTATATTTAATTAAAAAATCAAAACACACGCAAGGAGGTAGTGCTGATAGACTCGCTGAGAGCAGACGCAGCCAAAATAAATAGCTGAGCGAAGGAAAAGATACTGTAGAAGATGAAGCTTTACAGTCCTGCTGATTTCCTAAGGAGTTAAAAATCCATCTCTGACACATGCTCGCTCACTCTCGCGCGCGTGCGCTCTCTCTCCCTCTCTCTCTCTCTCTCTCTCTCTCACACACACACACACACACACACACACAGTAGATCTGTTGGAAAAACTGTGGTGAACATTTCATAAACAGGAATTGGTTGTTGGAGGCACGGTTCTTACTCTTTCTGGCTTTCATAGTGGGTTGCTAGTGAGATTGAAAAATGTGCTTCCAAAAAGCTTGAGACAAACATGATCTGAAAGACTGACCACCACTATTAATAACTGGCCATAGGTTCACTTAGGTAACTTTCCAAATGTGTGCATTACTACACATAGAATATTTGACTTCACCAAACCATAATCGTTTGTACTAGGTATTTGACATTTAAGTTGTTCCTAACTTGTCTTCCACAGATAGTGCGATGATAAATAAAATTCTTTGAGCAAAATTGAATGCAGCCCTAATTAAGGTTAAAAACTAGATTTGGTGGGTTAAAGAGCATATGCTTTTTCTCAGGCATTCTGGAGACTTTAACAATTTGTAGTCCTAACCTCAATATTTGAGGATACTTCAAAAATTCATGCAAATGGAATTAAAAGATAGGTTTATTTTGGTGCAAAAGTTTCTGAAATACACACAAAGGGTCTTCAAATGTGCATTATGGGGGGAAAAATGCATCGATTTAAACTTTTTTTGGTACTGAAATAAGCCTATATTTAAATTCCGTTTTCCAAACTGAAGTATCCTTGTACAAGCACCGTTAGCCCCAGCCCCCTAGCCCCAGTATTGCCACAGGTAGCTGGGAAGTTGCAGAATGAGAGCAAACTGCTGCAAAAATACCTGTGCGTAACCCCGAGCTTGGTCTAGAAGCAAGGACGCATTTGCTTGTTTTGTGTTAGACGCAGTGATGAGCAGAGTAGCGACAGTTCCAGCTAGGCTCTAGGGGGCAGAGCTATTGGCTTTCTTCTCAAGCAGGGAGGAAGCACGGCTCTGCTGACTTTTTGACATGCACAGGTGTGTGGGAACAGGTCTAGAGGACGTGTAACTGGCAGTGATCCTCTTGGGAGGTGGACTCTGAAGTGACCACTGTGCTTTGCTTCCTGTTCTTGCACAATGATAAACTTTTAAGGGTCTAAGGATTAATTTGCTTTACGCACAGCAAATGCCTAGTAGAGTTTTTCTTTTGAAGTAGCCATCAGCTGGGCCGCACAGTGCTTTCTTCCCCTGGCTCCGGGGGAGTCTGGGTTTCTTCTCCCTTCGGTGGTCTCTGTCCAGCCCAGGCAGTGTGATTTCACACCCTCTGAACCCACAGGGCCTGAATTTCTTTTCTTCCTGTTCAGTTCTTGTCTTATTTCAGAGGTTGTTCCAGTGAACATACTTGGTGGGGAGTAGATTTAGGTGTGCAAACTTAGCAAAAAAGGTATTAAGACAGCTTATGAACCAGTTTCCCAAGTTCTGTAAAACAGCTGCCGGGCACTTGCCTATGAAAGTACAAGTGGTCGCCTGAGGCAGTAGCTCAGAAATTGGGGTGCAGTCGCATGGGGTGTTGGACCCAGGGAGTTCTGGTCCAAGTGGGCTGGGGACACTCTGTGACTCGGGCAAGGGGCAGTGTGGGCCCAGCTCTCCTTCTGCTCTGTGGCCCGTGAGCCGGGTCACTGGGCTTCTCCAGCCTTCCACCCGAATCCCCATTTGAGAAGCGGCGGGATGTCTCAGGCTGGGCTGTGGCTGTGGCTGCGTGTGGCTTCACATTGAAGGCTGGCAGGAGCCCCAGCTGCTGAACCCACGCAAAGCGCTGTTGCTCCGTGGTTTCCTCCCAGAAAGCTTTGGAGTCTGCTTGTTGGTCACGCGAGAGGAAGCCAGCTGGCCTTGGGATTCTGTTTGGGCCTGGCACCTGGAACTGTCCTAACCCTTGTCACTGGGCCCCTTACAGATCGCTCCCGCCGAGGCCCCAGATGCTAAGGTACGGATGGTGATTATCACGGGACCTCCGGAGGCGCAGTTCAAGGTATGTGCTCCGAGAGCGCACAGGCCACAGTGGCCTTGCACTCGGAACTCTCCACCCTGGCTTCTAATAAGTAGAAGGAATCCATGGAAGTCCAAGCTGAAGTTGCATTTCAGAAATAGGAAGGTTTTCATTTTGAGAGTTGTGGTTGTAGGATCTCCCTGTTTCCCAAAGGCAAATTTGCCCAAAAGCCCTATTTATTGTATGTTTAGGTGAGACCTTAGGACTGAAATTGAGAAAACTGCCTGGCTAATATCTTAGAAATGTGCTCCAAGATTATCCCTGCTGTCACTCAGATGCCCTAACCTGGGATTAAAATGCACCCCCTTCCCTCTCGGCCCACGGACACCGCACACACCCATCTAACCTGGGGCTCTCGTGCCTACTGGTCCTGGGGTGAACCACTGCACAGGATTCCTGGGGTTGGAGTCTTGGCAGCTGGAGTGCCTCTCGTGTGCATACTGAAGGGTGTTGGGGAGCAGTCAGGCTGCTGGTTCAAGCCCCTGCGCTGCCATTTACTAGCTGTATGACCTCAGGCACTTTACTTTTTTTGTCGGGAGGAGGCTAGTTCCTCATCTGTAACATGGGGACCAAACAGGCAGGTGTCTCAGCCTGGTGAGTAAGATGCCATTTCCCACTTCACAGTGCCTGGTTCAACTCCTAGTTCCTCTGCTTCGGATCCAATTTCCTGCTCAAGTGGTTTGGTCCCTGCCACCCATGTGGGGAAACCTGGATCGTGTTCCTAGCTCCTGGATTCAGCCTGGTCCAGCCCTGGGGTCACTGCTGGCATTTGGAGAAAGAACCAATGGATGGGAGGTCTCTGTGTCTTAAGGAATTAAATCTCATCAGCTAAAAAAATAATAAGGGATTGGCATTGGCACAGGTTAAGCCGCTGCTTCTGACACTGGCGTCCCCTGACACTGGTGTCCCCTGTCAATCAGAGCGCCTCTGACACTGGCATTCCCTGAAACAGGCATCCCCTGTCAATCAGAGCGCCTCTGACACTGGCGTCCCCTATCAAGTTCCTGCTGCTCTGCTTCCTCCCCAGATTCCTGCTAATGTAACTGAGAAGTCAGCAGATGGCCAAGTACTTGGTCCCCTGCCACTTGCGGGATTACCGAGGTCTGGTGTTCGTGGCTCCTGGCTTCATCCTGGTATAGGCATGGCTGTTGCAGCCATTTGGAGAGGAAACCAGCAGATGGATGATCTCCGTCTGTCACTCTGCCCTTCACATAATACAAGATGGGGATCCGAGCGCCTCCATGCTCGGGCACTTGGACGGTTTACATTAGCTTAGAGCCTCACACGTAAGCAGCCCAGTGTTGCCGTGCTGAAGGTGGCTAGAGCCGACTCTGGGCAAAGCAGACCATGCCAAATTCACAAACGCGTTTCTCGTTTTGTGTGATTTCAGTAGGGATGCCTTGTCTTAGACAAAGTGACTACCAAGTCACTCCTGTCTCGGCCCTGCCCACCACCCTGCAGCTGTGTGACAGCTCAGCTACTTGGCTCTGGGGTGTGGCTGATAACAGGGCCTGTATCTCTCCCCTCTCCCCTTTTTAAAACCATCACTTTATTTCACCTCTATTTTGAGCCATTTTTCAATAAAATTCCAAACCCACTTTAACTTCATTCACAGGAAGGGCAGGAGACAGAGGAGGTGGTGAGAGACGCGAGTGTGGCTTGCCCAGCTCACAGGCAGGTGAAGCAAGTGTCCTGAGGCTGCCCATTGTTTGGCCTTCCATGTCCCGGGTCCAAAGTGTTGCAGACCTTCAGGGCCGGTGCCATCCACGGATAAACACCGACATGCATTCCGGCACGTCTCTCCTGAGTGCTGAGCCTGTACTCTTTCAGAACTGAAATTGCTATCTTGTCACTCCTAAAATGCTTGCACGAAGGGAAAGTCAAACAGTGCTTCCACAGTTCTACTCATAACTGTGTTTTACAGCTATCTTAATGGAACGTTTAAGCTGTAATAGCTAAGTCTCAGTCATGTGATCCAGATGAATGGTTTCTTTTAGAGATCAAAGGTATAATTGGCCTCTGAAGCCATATTTTTCTTATGAATTTTGTTTGGGAGAACAGATCCCTTATTCATAATGACAGGGTTTCTTACCTGTAAGTTTATTTCCATGCAGTAGGTGATGGGATGTATTGACTGTCAATACCAGAAATGTACAGTAACTGGATTTTGTAGCCTTTTTATTCAAACCAGAAATCATCTAGTTAAGAAACGTGTTTAAATAGAAAATATTCCTTTCAGCCAGTTTTCGCAGAGTGAGTTATCTTCCGTCTGCTGGTTTACCCCTAGACACGTACAACAGGCAGGAGAGGGCCAGGCTGCAGCCAGGAGCCCACGGTGCAAGGTAGTGGGCACTTGAGCTGTCATCTGCCTCCCTGGCCCGTCAGCAGGATGCTGGAGGGGAGCCGAGGAGCCCGGGCTCCCCAGGAATGCGGTGGGTATCACGTTCATGTAAATCTCCCTACCCCCCAGCAGTTTTCAAACTAGCCCATGTAGACGCGCACTTGGATTTCTGTCAGCCTGGCGTGGCTGTCTCTAGTTCTTTTTCAAGAAAACTGTAGTTAACTTCTCCTTGCCAGCATGAGAGGTTTTACCTTTCAGGATTGCCCACAAGCGTCACTTTCGCAGGCTGACTGGGTAGTTTTGTGTCTGTTTTAGTGAGAGGCATGTGTCCTACCCTCCTTTGATCAGCCACTGGCCTCACATGTGAACTCACGTGTGCTATGTCAGAGTTCCCCAAGTTCTCCCTTCAGCAGTGCCAAAGGCAGCGAGGGACCACCATGGAGGGCGATTCCAGCTGGAGTGAGGCTGCCTCGCATGTTTACCGTCTCTCGTATCATGCATGGACGACACTGATGGGGCATGTTCTCGTCTGCAGGCTCAGGGAAGAATTTATGGAAAAATTAAAGAGGAAAACTTTGTTAGCCCTAAAGAAGAGGTGAAACTTGAAGCTCATATCAGAGTGCCGTCCTTTGCTGCTGGCAGAGTGATTGGAAAAGGAGGCAAAACGGCAAGTACTTCAGCAAAACCTGTGCAGTGGTATGGAAGGTATGGAAGGGAAGGCGTTGAAAGGTACTTGGGAGTTCCAAGCCCCTGCATTTTGGCTAATGTATAAAAGCAAGAGCACCTTGACCAAGGTCTGGAGAAGCCTTTCTTGAGGGGCAGTAATGCTTCTCTCTCAGGCCTGCCACCTGTAAGGGGGTGTGGAGCGTCATCCTCGTGTCACAACCCCAGCTTGTAATTTGTATCTACAAGGACCACGGGACAACAGTTTCATCTACAGCTGCACACCTGTAACTGAAAAAAGTAAATGGTTTCATGTTCAACAGATGCCACTTTCAAAGCTATTTGAAATTTCAAGGTGACTGAGAGCAGTTAGAGCAAGACTTCTGAAAATCTGAATCTGGTGGCCATTCACTGTGTGACTGCGCGCATCAATTCCTTGGGGAGCCTCTGTTCTGATGGCCCCGAGTGCAGGCAGCACTAATGATGTGAAACACTCATTAGTGGACGAGGTGAAGCTTGCGAAGCCATAGCCCAGTGTTTCGGACGCAGGAGTGCTCAGGAAATGGCAGCTTCCTAAAAACCCATTTCCCATAATTTCTGCTTAACTCTTGCAGGTGAATGAGCTCCAGAATTTGTCAAGTGCGGAAGTAGTTGTACCTCGTGACCAGACGCCTGATGAGAATGACCAAGTGGTTGTCAAGATAACTGGTCACTTCTACGCTTGCCAGGCAAGTGGGCTGTGCCATGAGCAGCATGTGGAAGGAGCTGTCTCATGGGCACTTCCACCTCACACAAATACGTAGGGTGGTTTCATGCGTAACACTTTCAGTCCCCTTAGAGCAGGGGACTTCAGAGCCTAGTGGCAAACCTTCAGTAGTGTATGTTTAATGTGAAAATGGATTCTGTTTGAAGTTGTTGAAATGGAAGAGTAAAATCCTTTTGATCAGGTAGAATTTTCAAAGTTCTGTCCTTCTGCAGGTTGCCCAGAGGAAAATTCAGGAAATTCTGACTCAGGTAAAGCAGCACCACCAGCAGAAGGCGCTGCAGAGTGGACCATCCCAGGCAAGGAGGAAGTGACGGCTCGGGAAGCAGCCCAGCACAGAGGCAGATGCCAAACCAAAGACAGATCGCCTAACCACAGCCGGGCACGGACCCGCTCCAGAACCACATGCACAAGTTTGTACCCAGCCAGTTGTTTCTGAGGACCAGGCAACTTTTGAACTCCTGTCTCTGTGAGAATGTATACTTTATGCTCTCTGAAATGTATGACACCCAGCTTTAAAAAAAAGAAAATGGGGGTGGGATGGGAGAGAAGAGCTCTGCACTTCCCTGTGTGTGTAGCCTCATGTTGTAACAGACATTCTAAGTTTTCCTGATAGTCCGCTAGAGTGCCAGGAATTGGCTTAATGGTGCATCACTAAATTCATCAGATAAATTTTAAAAATAGATTGCTCCTAAATCCAACTGCTAAAATTGGATTGGAATAGAATTATCACAGGAACTTAAATGTTAAGCCATTAGCATAGAAAAAACTGTTCTCAGTTTTATTTTTATCTAACACTAACAAGAATAACGTAAGGGAAGTGCTGAATGGTGTTGGCAGGGGTATTAAATGTGCATTTTTACTCAACTACCTCAGGTATCCAGTAATACAATGAAAAGCAAAATTGTTTCTTCTTTTGAAAATTTTATATACTTCATAATGCTAAGTCCAACTGTTTTTTATGAAATTTAAAATTTAACAGCTAACAGGAAAATAATTGAGCAAAGACTTACTTCTTGCTGGTGACAGTAATGCTGGAAAATTTCAGGTTTTTTGAGGCTTTTGACAGTTACTAGTTGGAAAATCCAATAAATGTTCAAAGATACAGAGCAGTGCCTATATTTGGAGAGCAGCAATACCATTTCTTGTTTCATTTAGAGCTGGGAAGTTTCTGATGGTACTCACGAGGTGGTGGCAGGAGGCTTTGGGACGGCTGGTTTAAATGGCTTCAGAAGACTTCAGGTTTTGTTTAGCTACGTGACTGAATGCATTAACGCTCTGTGCTTTTCACTACCACTGCCTTATGGTGACCGCTGAGAGAAGCAGGACCTTACGCCGACTGGCAGAGGCAGGGCTCAGCTTGTCTGAAAGGATGTACACCTGCTGGTCTACACCTGGAGAAGGTCAAGGGCGTAGTCAGAGATGGTGTGACAGTGTCTAGAAGGCTGCAGAGGGCTATGTCTCCGTACGCCCTGGCACTGTCTTGAGCCTCACTAAGGTGTTTTGAAGATTTTTTAAGCAATGATTTAGAAAGTGAAAGTCCACCTAAATATTACATAAAATGTAGCAGGATTTCTATATACTCTGCAAGTTATTTGAAAATAAGTCAAAAGGTAGAGAATACAAGAAAACGGTTTTTGGAATGTAACTGAATGACTGTGAAAACTCGACCTCTGATACTGAACTCATCTGCCCATTCCTTAATGGCAGAGCCCAGGACGTACAATGGTGTGGGTGTGGGTGGTCTTGAAGGCCACACTGCTCTCTGAATTTTTTTTTTTTTTTGCTTTTGTTCATAAGATGATCACAGTCATATTATACTGATGGGCATATGTAATGCTTTAGAAATCATTTGCCTCATTCATACTCAAGATGAATTTCTACAGACTAGATATTTTCTGAAGATCAGCGTATCAGTTAGACACTTGGAAAATTATTTGAAATGTTTTCCTAAATAATTTCAGAAAACCAGTTTATTTTGTAGTGTTAGCCAAAAAGTGCCCTTTTTGTCAATAAATTCACCTTGCATTCATAATTTTCATACAATGAATGAAAAATTGCTAAAAAAAAATCATGGACTGGCTTACTGGTTGGATTTCAGAGAAGATGTTGAAGTCCAGAGCTGTTCCTCAACATTTGATTTTTCCAATATTTGATTTTTTTTTTTTTAAATACAGATAGGTGCTGGTTTAAATTCTGTCATGTTTCACTTCTAGTCTTTTAGTGTGGCAAATCATTTTATTTTCACTTAAGCATTGATAATTTGGAGTATGTGGTACTAGCTAAGAAGTAATTCTGTGATTATTTTGTACTCACTGTACATGGATCATTTCTCATCTATAATGTGCCCCAAACGCAGCTTCATTTTCCAGATACCTTGATGCAGAATAAAGGTTTTCATCATTAGGTGCAGTTTATTGTGGAGTATGTCTTGTGTTTGGTGTTCAAATGAATGTAAACTTTCTGAATTTGGTCTTGTTACAAAGTTAAAGCAAAGTTTTAGTTATACTAACTTCAACCTCAAAGGCTATTCAAAAACTATTTTCTCCAGCTCAGGAAAATGTGATTATTATTAGCATTGTTGGATATGAACTAACAACTACAGGTTTTAAGAGTTTCTCACGCTACTTTATTTTGTCACTGGACTGTCCTAGACCAGCACCTGGAAGAACAAATAGGATCAGTGGGGTGCTGCTTTTTGTTATTTTGAAAGTATCTGTCCATTCTATCCTATAGAATAAATTTATATGTAAGCAGAATAAGATTCTAATAGAGAACTCAAATGTAGGGACCAGTGCTAAGTCCAGGACCTCGTGCTGGGATGCCAGGGATAGACAGTAAATTCTGGTTGGAATGTAACGACGTGAGTGTTCTAGCAATGAGTGCACACCGTAGACAAGACCTGTTCTATTTTCCAAAGATTGACTCAATCCAAATCTGAAAGGACTAAAGCAGTTCATGAGTTTTATTCACATTTGAACTCCACTGGAATAAGAGATGCAGGGTCGTCTTCTCTTCCAAGAATGAAGTCTTCAGGTAATGTTTCGGGTGCTATCTGAGCTAACTGATCATCGTAAGAACGCAGGGTCCATAATTTCTCTAATTCATAGGTTTCTCTAGTTTCTGGAAGCATCAAGTGAATCACCATGCTGCCTATCAAGGGGCAGATAAGAGTCACAATGAAGAAACAGTTCAAGTCCTTTTCATCTTGTCACCTCACAGCCCTCTGTTGCTAGTGTCTGACTCTAGTAGCTACAGAAGCACTTCCTGGGAACTTAATAGAGGGCCCCCATCCTAGCAAAATACCACAGAAATACCATAGAGGAGGAGCTGAGAGCAGCTTTGCTTAAAACTGTGGTTCTCAACACGGAACAATATGTGCAATGTGATAAATAAAATGCTTTGAACCAAGCACACATGAATACACAAACCTATGCTATTCAAAATTCCAGTCTTCTGCTCTTCCTATGCCTGCAATGACTTTCACCATCTCTTCAATTAATGCCAAAGTCACATGTACCCCGTCCACCACCTTCCTGATCCGTGTGGCTAGTTAATATATTAATAACTATATATAGCTAATGTGTAGATATAGTTATTAACATAATATATATATATATATATATACACACACACCTCCAGGAGTGCATTACCTAGAGTATTTTGGTTAGGTGAAGATTTTACACGTGCAAAAAATCTTACGTAGAAATGCATGCAATTTGATTTCAGTCCCTTAATGACTGAAAACAATTCAAGATTAATATGACTATTTGTCAGTAAAATGACGCTAAAATAACTTACCAAAATCCACACAGAGCCAGTCATCTGTGTCCTTCCCTTCAATCTTAACATGAGGCTCACTCCGGCATTTCAGATACTTGTACTGAAAAAAGCCAGGTCCTATGTTAGAGGGAGAGGCTGTGGAGGAAACCTTGCTCTTACTGGAAGGTCTGGTAGGCTTTTTCTGGTCTCTCTCTCCATGATTACTAATAGGGAAACCGTTTCCCCTCTGAATCCTCTCCTCATACGATTATACCGATTCCTCTTAGCCAAATGCTTCTGAGAGGGCCGCCATACTCAATCATGCTTCCCCTCACTCCCAAGGAAGCCAGATGCTTCCTTCCTTTTTTATGGCGAGGTCTTCTCAGTACTGTTCATGTCTATTCCCAACAGACCTACTAATGGTCTGTACCTTCTGTTAAAGCCAACACAGACTAAAAATCAGGCAAGACAAGACCAAGCCAGAAATTCTTAGAAACAAGAAATTACGCCAAGATAAATTATATAGACATCCAATGTTCAATGATGGATAGAACAAGGAAATAAAGGACTTAACCCCACAGACCAGTCAGATCCAATAAACGTTGATAGAACATTGTAGCCAACAGCAGAATACACATTTCTCTCAAATGCATATGGGACATTCTCCAGGATAATACACCACAAGTCTTAATAAATTTTAGATTGAAATACAGTCTATTTTCTGACGGCACCAGAATAAAACTAGTAAATTCACAAAAAAATGTTTTGAAATTAGCACACTCTTAACCAATGCGTCAAAAAAATCACAAGAAAGCAAACCATCTTGAGACAAAAATTCAGAAAACATAAAAATTTACGGGATGCGGCAAAAGCTGTGCTATGAGTGAGATTTATAGGTGGAAATGCTTACATTAAAGAAGATCCCAACTCTAACACTGTAAAGGAGAATAAGGAAATACTAAACCCAGAGCTGGCTGACGGAAATAACAAAGTCTGGCTTTCAACAGAGATCTACAAATTGGGACAGATCTTTAGAGAGACATTACTGACTTTAGAGAAATTAAAAGAATTTTAAGAATACTATGAGGGGCTGACACTGTGGCATAGCAGGTAAAGATAACCGCCTGCAAATGCCAGCATCCCATATGAAGTCTCGGCTGTTCCACTCCCTGCCAATGCGCCTTGGAAAGCAGTGGAAGATGGCTCAAGTGCCTGGGCCCCTGTACCCATGTGGGAGGCCCAGAACAAACTCTTGGCCGCGGATGGGCTCAGCTCCAGCCGCTGCAGCCTGGGGAGTGAACCAGCCGGTGGAAGATCTCAATATCTCTCTCTCCCTCCCCCTCTCTCTAACTGCCTCTCAAATAAATAAATCTTAAAAAAAAAACTACAAAAATCTAGGCTAGATGAAATAAGTACCTACAAACACACACCCTACCAGGACTGAACATTAAGAAACACGTGTGTGCAGTCTGAATAGGCCTATAACTAGGGAAGTGACTGAGTCAGGAGTCAACCTCTAAATAGTGAAAAGGCCTGCACCATGTGGCTTTGCTGGTCAATTCTAGCAAATATTTAATACCAGTGCTCCTCAACTTTGAACAACAACAAAAAAGGAGGGAACACAGCTTCCTAACTCATTCTGTGGGCCCAACTTTAGCCTGTTGGTCTGTAGTTTTCTAATAAGCCTACTTATTTGACAGGAAAGTCCTCAGCCATATTTTAGCAAAGCAAATTCAGTAGCATATTAAAAGGATTATACACTATGACCAAGTGGGATTTCTGAGTGTGCACAGAGTCCAGCACAGGAAAACTAATCAATGTCAGATGCCATATTAGCAGAATGAAGGCAAAGATTCCCCATGATCAGAACTGATGCCCTCGACATAATGCACTTTCACATTAGAAACACCCAACAGAACAGGAATAAAAGGAAACTTCCTCAGTGTACCAAAAGCCATACAGTGACAGCACACAGCTACCGCTCAAAGGTGAGACTGAAAGCTCCCCAGCTAAGATCAGGAGCAAGCCCACTTTTGTTACCTCTATATGACATGGAATGAGGAGTTATGGCCAGAGCAATTAGGCAAGAAAAATAAAAGCATCCAAATTTAAAAGGAAGAAGTAAAATGTTGTTTGCTGAAAGCATGATAGGTAGAAAGTCCTAAAGATTCCACACACACAAAAAGAGGATTAATTCAGTAAAATTGCAGGCTTACAAAATCACCCAAGTTCAGTTGCATTTCTACACACTAACAATGAACAACCTGGAAATGAAACTAGGAAACGAGTTCCACTTAGAATAGCCTTAATAAATAAATAAATAAAACCCTCAGGAATAAACTACAGAGGTCACATGCTTATGTCCTGAGACACTAAACACTGCTTAAAGAAATCAGAGAGACCAATAAACAGAGAAGACCTGGTAATGTTAAGATGTGAAAACTACCCAAAGCAGCCTACAGATACAATGCAGTCCCTATCAACATCCCAACAACAGTTTTCAAATGCAATCCATCAAAATTCGTATGGAGGGGGGTCGGCTTTGTGGTGCAGTGGGTTAAGCCACCACCTGTGATGCTGGTATCCCATATGAGTGCCTGTTCGAATGCTGGCTGCTTCACTTCTGACTTAGCTTCCTGCTAATGCTACTAGGAAAGCAACAGATGATGCCAGGGTCCCTGTACTCATGTGGGAAACCCGGATGGAGTTACAGGCTCCTGGCTTCAGCCTGCCCAGCCCCTACCACTGGGGACATCTGGGTGAACTAACAGATGCAAGATCTCTCTCTCCTCTTTTTTCTGTAATTCTGTCTTTCAAAAAGATAAATCTTAAAATATATGGAATCTCAATGGATCCTTAACAGCAAAGATATCTTGAAAAAAGAACAAAGTTGGTGGTTTTACATTTCCTGATTTTCAAAAACTTACTACAAAGCCAAAGTGATCACAATGCTGTGGTACTACTGGAGTACATACAAGCATGTAAGACAATGGAGTAAAACTGAGAACCAGAAATAAACCTTCACCCACTTGGTCAGATGGTTTTCAACAAGGGGCCATGATCGTAAAGTGGGCAAGAGCACAGTCTTCGGCAAGTAGTGCTGAGGAAACCGGCTATGCACCTGGAACACCCTATACCTGTACCAAATGAAGTCAAAATGGGTTAAATACCCAAACAGAGGTCCTGAAACTAGACAGCCCTGAGGAGAACACACAGGAGGAAAGCTTCATGACACACTAGTTTGGCATTCATTTCTTGGCTATGACACTAAAGTCACAGGCAACAAAAAAGAAACAAATTGGATTAACCAAAATTAAATACTTCTGTGCATCAAAGAACACTACCAACAGAACAGAAATGCAACCCAAGAGTTGTAAGAAATATTTGCAAATCCTCTTTGACAGTGGATTAATAGCCAGAACATAGAACACAGGCGAAAAAAAAAAAAAATCAAACCTGGGCAAACAACTTAATTATACATTCTTCAAATATATACAAATGGGGGCCGGTGCTATAGCACAAGTTAAGCCTCTGCCTGCAGCGCCGGCATCCCATATGTGCACTGGTTCAAGTCCCAGCTGCTCCACTCCAGAGCCAACTCCCTGCTAATGGCCTGGGAAAGCAGTGAAAGATGGCCCAGGTGC